GCTTGAAGAAGTCGGAGGGATTTTTCCTAAATGTTGTGGAAATGTGTGGAGATTTTGTGAGATGTCTGTAGAATTTTGTAATGTTTTGAGAAGATGTAGGGAATTTTGTGGCATTTTTCTGGAATTTTGTGGGGCTTTCAAGAACTTTGCGAGAGTTTTCTTGAATTTAGTGGAAATTTGTTGAGATTTTGTGAGATGTTGCAGGAATTTGGTGGCATATTGAGGAAATTCAGTGAATTTTGAGGGATTTTTCTTGAATTTTGTGGAAATTGTTGGAGATTTTGTGGGATGTTGCAGGAATGTGGTTGGGTTTTGAGAAGATTTAGGGAATTGTGTGGGGCTTGTACAGAATTTTGTGCGATTTCTTTTGAATTTTGTGGGATTTCTCTTGAATTTTGTGGGATTTTTGTGGTATTTGGAGAAGACTTGTAGAATTTTGCGGGATTTTTCTTGAATTTTCTGAAAATGTGTGAAGATTTTGTGAGATGTTGCAGGAATTTGGTTGGGTTTTGAGAAGATTTATGGAATTTTGTGGCATTTTTCTGGATTTTTGAGGGGCTATCAAGAACTTTGTGAGCGTTTTCTTGAATTTAGTGGAAATTTTTTGAGATTTTGTGATATGGTTCTGGAATTTTGTGGGATTTTTGTGGGATTTGGAGGAGACGAATAATTTTGAGGGATTTTTCCTGCATGTTGTGGAAATTGGTGGAGATTTTGTGTGATGTTGCAGGAATTTGGTTGGGTTTTGAGAAGATGTATGGAATTTTGTGGGATTTTCATGGAATTTTGTGGGATTTCTCTTGAATTTTGTGGGATTTGGAGGAGACTTTAAGAATTTGGAGGGAATTTTCTTGAATTTTTTGGATATTGGTGGAGATTTTGTGAGACGCTGCAGGAATTTGTTTGGGTTTTGAGAAGATTTAGGGATTTTTGTGGCACTTCCCAGGAATTTTGTGTTTGGGTTTTGAGAAGATTTAGGGATTTTTGTGGCACTTCCCAGGAATTTTGTGGGATTTTTCTGGAATTCTGTGGGATTCTGAACAGACTTGAAGAATTTTGAGGAATTTTTCTTAGATTTTCTGGAAACTTGTGGTGGTTTTGTGTGATTTTTGTGGAATTTTGTGGGATATTGAGGCGATTTAGGGATCTTGAGGGATTTTTCATGTATTTTGTGGGAATTTGTGGAGATTTGGTGGAATTTTTTCCAGAATTTGGTCGTGTTTTGAGAAGATTTAGGGAATTTTGTGTGATTTTGTGGGAACCAACGGATGTTTTGTGGGATGTTCCTGTGAATTGGTATGGTTTTGAGAAGATTTAGGGAATTTTGTGGGACTTCTCTGGAATTTTGTAAGGTTTTTCAAGGACTTTGTGGGATTCTGAATGGACTTGAAGAATTTTGAGGAATTTTTCTTAGATTGTGTGGAAACTTGAGGTGGTTTTGTGTGATTTTTGTGGAATTTTGTGGGATATTGAGGAGATTTTGTGGGCATGTACAAGGAATTTGTGTGGTTTTAAGGAGACTTAAAGAATTTTGTGGGATTTTTCTTGAATTTTATGGGAACTTGTGTAGATTTTGCGGGGTGTTTCTGGAAGTTTTTAAGGTTTTGAGAAGATTTTAGGATTTTTGTGGGATTTTTCAGGATTTTTGTGCATTTTTCTGGAATTCTGTGGGATTCTGAGGAGACTTGAAGAATTTTGAGGAATTTTTTTTAGATTTTGTGGGAATTTGTGGAGATTCTGTGGGATTTTTGTGGAATTTGGTGGGCCTTTTCAAGGACTTTGTGTGGTTTTGAGGAGAGTTGAAGTATTTTGAGGAATTTTTCTTAGATTTTGTGGAAACTTGTGGAGGTTTTGTGTGATTTTTGTGGAATTTTGTGGGATATTGAGGCGATTTAGGGATCTTGAGGGATTTTTCATGTATTTTGTGGGAATTTGTGGAGATTTGGTGGG